TTATGTCAATCATTTATGCACTCGTGGGAACCAACAGAGCGCTAAGGCATTCAAATTCTAACAATTAAATTGTTATTGGTGATTTCAATAGTTTTCGGGTTTTTTGGGACACCCTGTATACAGGGTGTCTCAAAAAAAAACCAAAATCATTGAAATTGACGTATTGTTCGATATTCAATGCCCTAGCACTAAGTTAATCCCACGAGTGCATAAAAGATTGACATAACTGCTATAATGAATGGTAATACTCAGCGTAAACTTGTTATGTCAGGCATAAAGTACTAAACCCACGAATGCATATTACGCATATTACAATTTACGAAGCAGTTTTAAATTCCCATGAGCAAACAAACGTTCACTTTACAAAGATATTTTAATTTTTTAAAACAAATTAATCACCCTGTCAAAATCCTTTGTGTTACGGCATTGAAATTCGAACAATACGTTATTTCAATGATTTTGGGTTTTTTTGAGACACCCTGTACAGGGTGTATAAAAAAAAACGCAACCTCGGAATTTCCTAAGAAATCACTTTGCAATTCTTAAGCATAAAAGATTTTAGGCCCCTGGGAATTGAAATCGAATTGCTAATAGATCATATTACTGTTGTTGTGCATTAAATAAATGCATAAATTTTGCTTTATGCACTCGCGTGTGCAGTAATTTTGAGAGTTATGCTATTTTAAATTCCCAGGCGCCTAAAATCTTTTGTCTTTAAAACAATGTCGATTTCTTGGGAAATTCCGAGGTTGCGCTTTTTTTGATACACCCTGTACACCCTGTATTACGAAATTAAAATATCTTTGTAAAGCGCACTATTTTGTGCTCTTGGGAATTTAAAGCAGCATTCATAAAATTTACTGATGTCCAGCATTTATGCACTTGTGGGTTCAACGGAGTGCTGAGACATTCAAATTAAACCCGAATACGTTATTTCAATAGTTTTGGTTTTTTTTGGGACACCCTGTAGTGAATTTGGCAAATACACTGTGCAACAACAACGTGAATGAAGACGGATGGGATGATGTCTCACAGGAAAATGCAAGGCGTTGGCAGGCCAATAAATTTCATAAAAACATTTGCATTGCGAATTGACGCTAAAAATTTCCCTTGGGACAACTCATCAAGTGTTTTCCCCGCGTTTGACGTCATTATAAGAAAGTCCATAGAATTGTACCGTAAAACATGCTAGGACAACGATAGCTAAATTGTGATTCTTTGAGCAATCTCGGACGCCATATAGTTTTTCAAACTGTATGCGACGTTATGTACATATAATTTCCAGGGATCATAACCACTTCAATAGTCGAAACGTTCAAAGTCGTTTCGATGTTTTGTATGAATTCACTGACTATATTGCCACTTCAGGTTGTTTGTAAAGAAAGATGAATACTTTTAAGAGGCAATTAATGAGTTCGGCAATGTCTGTTTTGGTTCACATACAAAAATGTAAGTATAGTTCTGTTATATCTGCCCGGCGCTGTCGGTTGCCAAGCTCACTGCTGTCTAATTAGGTAGTCTACATGCTAGTAAGCTGTTTGTTCTGAATACATGACCTGCTTTGCCTGGACGAGATTTGAGGCGATATGTATTGCAATAAGTCACGGTGCACGATAACTTATTATTGATTATTGGTGGGAAAGGGTATTTTCGTGAGCCGTGAATGGTCAACATTTGTTCATGTGAAATGTGAAATGCTTGATTTTAGTGTCGTGAAATGTGATTTGTTCTACAGCCGTGACGCGTGATTATCGATAAAAATGCTCTGTGAAATGAGAATTAAGGATGTCTGTTTTGAACTGTGATTTTGCTTTATTTTTTTCGATCTATTTTATAATAGCCATAATAGACATAATACGCGATAATAATTTATATGAGCGACCTCACGCGATATTGAACAAAAACGTCGGAGGCCTTTCGGAGTTATAATGTAGTTTTTAACTGCCAGGCAGAGATTGAAGTGAGAGACCTCAAAACGTAAAGATACTGTACCATGCATTAAACATGCTCTTAATAAACCTATTATTGTTAGAATCTACTTTTTAATTAATGAAATGTGAAATTCCTATCTCAGATATTTTCAACAACTTTTGAGTTCTTTTAAACGGCGGTTGAACTTTCGTTTAAGTCTAGTGATTTATTAAACAACCCTTTTATAGAGCTTTATAAAATAACATGTATATAACGCGTGCTCTGATTGGTCGAAACCCGTGTTTGGATCAGGCCATCCAAACACGGAAATTTAAAGTGAAAGTTTTTTAAAGTGAAATTTTAACACGGAAAGTTGTTATTTTATAAAACAATTAATTACTTTATGGTTTCCGTGTTTGGATGGCCTGATCCAAACACTTGGGACCAGTATAATCCAGTATAAACAACTTTTTGGTTTATTTCAATGATTTAATTTATACTATTTCACCAATAAATACTTCTATTTCTGGTATGCGTCACTGCTCAGTGATGCTTTTTGTGCTTTCCCAAAGCAATCTCAATGCATTTTCTTGTGTGAGTGTTTCTTATAATGTTTGGAATGATGATGCTTATGATGATGCTTATGATGATGCTTGTGCATTTTCTTGAGATGTCGGTGGTGGTGGCGGTGATGATGATGATGATGTGGGAATTTGACTGCTCCCTCCGCATTGCCCGTGGTTCCTCCCATTGTATTGCCTCCCCCTGAGGAAGGGTCTTGGGGGGGTTGAGATTGGGGTAGTTGTTGAGGAGGTTGAGATTGGGGTGGGGTTTCAGGAGATTGAGATGGGGGTTCAGGAAATTGGGGTTGGGTTTCAGGAGGTTGAGGTGTGGGTAGAGGTTGGGGTTGGGGTTGAGGTTGGGGCGGGGTTTCAGGTAGTGGTTCTGTGGTGGGCGGTGGTCCTTCTGTTGGCGGCGCTTCTGTGTCGGGTGCGGAGGTTTCTTGAGATGGAGCTTCTGTTGGTTCGGGAGTTGGTTTACTTGGCTCGGTTGGCTTGTGTGTTGGTTTGGGTGACTCTGATTTACCTTCGGTAGGTGTGATTGTGGGTAACCCCTCACCCGGCTTGGGAGTGGTAATAGCAGGGGTTGGGGGTACGGTTGAATATTTTGGTGGGAGGGTGGGTATGACTGGCTTCTCCGAAGGCGGGTGTTCGGTGGCGGGAACTGTAGGAAGGGGTTTTTTAAGGGTGGTATAAGGATAGTATATATAGAATGGGTAGTGATAAAATGCGTTTTCATAGTCAGGGTTAAGTCCTTCTCCTTTTCTATCTTGGTATACATCACAACTGTGTTTACATTTTTTTTTCACTTCTTCGCTTTCATTGCAGTAACCAACACTTCCCCAAGTCGGACATAATGTATCTTTGTCGAACTGCACTTCATCGTCCTTGTCTGGTGAATAAAAGAAATAAAGTTGGTCATATTATAGAAACAGGATGTATAAATTGTGGATTGTGGAAGAACCGGTGTTAATCATTTCTCAGGTCAGTGTTGTTCTTGAATAACTTTTACGATCCAAACAACCTTCTAAAGTGCTTACAATGGCGTAATCGCTTTGGGCTCTGCATACAAGCTTTCAACAATTGATCATGCAAGCTTTCAACGTTGAACGGGGGGGGGGGGCAGTTAAAAATTTGCTGTTTGTGCGCGTATGTATTGGGCAAGGCTCCAGGTATTTCTATTTCCGCTTTTTGCTTAGTAGACGACCGGCCAACATTCTGAAAGTTACACTCTGATGGCATTTTTTGTTACAAACTGCCAACTGGCATTTTCTTATAGCTTACACATTGGTGAGCAAGACTATATATGTTGGCATCTTTGATTCTGGCTTTATAGCCCAAAATTTCAGAATTTTAAAATGTTGCCTAGTAAAGTACTATGTTGGCTAAAAATACAAAATTTCAAGTTCATTTTTCACAAAAATAATCTACACAATTAGAAAGATCGCAAAAAGTATATATAAGACATTTAAGCGAGTAGTGCGAATTTTCAAGCCAGTTTTGAGTTAAAGGACTTAAAGTTGGCAAAATAGTAACTATCACATCAATTGGCGCATTTTCTTCATTTTCGAGTGTTTAAAAGCTCAAAATTGGCTGCGAAAATCATACTCGCTTAAATGAACTTTCTAATGGTATAGTGAAAGTGAACTTGTAATTTTGCATTTTTCTCATCATAGTACTTTTTATAGACAAAATATTCAAATTTTGATCTATAAAACCAAATGCATATGCTCTATGAAAATATTAATAGTTGGCAGCTTGTAACAGAAAATGCCATCAAACAAATTTTGTTGCACATTTTCAGGTTTTGGCCGACCGTCTATAGTATAGGTTTTATCCTGCAGTAAAGACCCATTTCCACTCAAGAAAGATTTCCACGGACATAAAATTTTCCGAAAATATCATTGTTAAAAGTTGAAAATTTTCAACTTCAAAATTTTTTTCGGACGGAAAATTTGTGTCGGCCAATCTCATTTTACAAACTTTTCTTTCTGCTGAAAATTTTCCTGCGTGGAAATGGGCCTTAGCACTCGACCAGAAGGGGACTATCTTATAGGGAGAGCATGATAGAGCTATCTAGTATATGTAAACAAAGTAAATTTGGTTTGATCAACTAACCTTTACCACACAACAAACAACTTAATTTGCAGTATTTCTTCATGTAGTGTGGAAAACGAATACAGTCTCCGTTGTGTGCCCACACTGGACATTCCCATTTCTCATTTTCGCATTTTGGAGGACTTTTGATCTTTGCTGAGGAAGTAAAACAGTCAACGCATTTGGTAAGTTTACTTTTACATTATAGGCCCATTTACACGACAGTCATTTTGGGTATAGCACATCCTAGAAGATTTCAGGATCTTCTCTTCAGTCCGTTTTTGTAGAGAAGATTGAGTTTAGCTGAACAGCTGGGAGTCTGGGGCGGCTGACACCAGTACCAATACATTCTCGTCCCCAGAGCCATTTTCACTCAGTCACTCGTTGAAAATTAGGCTCTGGGTTAGACGACTAAAGGGAGAGATCTGTTTGGCTTCTCAGAGAACTGCTATTCCGCAGAAGTTGAGCAGTTTTCGCTAGGCAAAATTATTCTATTAACGTATGTCAACACAAATACTTCGTTTCTTCGTAATACGTCACTGTGAAAATTGTTACGGGTGCAAAAGTGTCCCAATTCAAGAGCATGCGCTTTAGAAACTACTGCAAGTTTTCTTGCACTTCCGGTTCCGTGTGTTCCAGGTAGAGGTGTGCGTCGGATCGGATTGACCTCTCTCAATCCGATGGTTTGTCTAAGTTCTCAATCCGAATCCGATCCGATCCGAAGATGAAAAAAGTAATCCGATCCGATCCGAAACAATGTTTATAAAATCCGATCCGATCCGATGCTAAAATTCGTAATCCGATCCGATCCGAACTTAAGTTGTGTACGCTGTACAGCGTGCGTTAATTATTATGAACGTATTTTTTCATGATCATAAACGATATATTGGAAATAATGAATTTCTAGCAAAAATAAGCAGATACGAATCCGATAAAAATTGCAGGGCGATATCACATAATTATGCCTTATAGCGTTCACATTTACAGTACACAGTAACAGCAGTTTATATTTTATTAGAATTAGCATAGAAAAAAAACCCAACTAGTCAAAAATGTTTTATTCAGTATAATAAATCATGAGCTTGAGCTAGGTTTACATTTTAAAACATCTTAACGTTTATCACTAATAAACCTCATTGTCAGGCTTCATGTGCTGTTTTTGAATAGCCGAGGCCCGAGGGGAGATTGGGTGGCATAATGGCATTCGTTATTCGCGAATCGCGATTTCGCGAGCGAGCAAAACGTTACTTTGACTTTGTAGTTTGTAGTTTGTATGGACTATATGGATTATGGAATTACTTTTATGCTCAAAGCCATTGTGAATTCTGATGCCATTTGTAACGTAAAAGTGGAATACAGCTGCAGAATATAGAACTTTCTCAATTTGTAAAAATATTCGAATAATTCGACGTGATACAAGAAAAATCAAATCCGAACCGATCCGACAAAAAACCTGCAAAATCCGATCCGATCCGACAGAAACAAAACGAAATCCGATCCGATCCGAGTAATTTACTGTCCGAATCCGATCCGAATCCGATCGGCCTATGGAGGACGCGCGCGGCCGAGAGGCCATGGGGACGAGAATGGCACAAATACAGCCTGACACCATATATATCTTATATACACTAGATAGTGCATCTAATTATTCTGCAATTCAACAATTGAAGCCGTGATTGCAGACTCAGGATATTCCCATGAAATGAGAAGATTCATACGTTTTCTATTTCTTAAACAGGGAACTTAAACATCAAGTTAAACCTATTCCAAATGCATTTTTAAACTATTCAAATGATGAAAGTTATTGTTGTTTTTTAAGCGTTTATTAGCGAGTGGAAACTACCAACATGGCCGCCATCTATTCAAATGGGGGTAACCGCTGGAATATTCTTGGCTTCAATTTTACTAAAAGAGATGCGCTGGTGTATATAAGATATCTATGCCTGACACCTGTGCCCAATAAGTGTAGTTGAGACGCAATGTGTTAAAGCAGAGCACTATAAGGGACACTATAAGCTAGTTTTAAAGATGGCGAATGCGCAGTTTTTCTTGTGTTGCGAAATGTATTCCAGCTATTTTTTCTTAATTGTCGGGTTTCCAACTGAAAACTAATTTCCACACGTCACAAATTTAACTCAGACAACTTCATTTTTACTGCACTGAAACTTTTTGTGACAAGAGTGAGTTTCAAAACTCAGTTAAAGATTGAGTTTTTGCCTTTTGAGGCCTAAAAAATCCCTGAAAATACCCCTGGTTCGGCACGCTTAAATTTTGGCATGCGGACCCACGCTTTTTGGTCCGCCCATTGCGTTTACACGACAAAACGTTTGTTCTATAAAAAATGTTCGGTTCGGCACGCCTTAATGGACCATTTGCATTATAGACTAAATTTTGATCTAGACAAAAATTTCATCACAGCTTGAAAGAGCATCACAAAATTAGCAATATTCCAAAGTTTCGTTGCGAAATGTTGTAAAATGCGGATAATATAGCCTTACGAAGTTTGCCGTTTTTCAGTCATTTTGTATTACGCACGGGAAATTGACAGCCCAATCAGGTGTTGGGGCATCAATTTCCTGTTTGTAATACAAAATGACTGAAAATTGCAAATTTCGCAAGGCTGTATTATCCGCATTTTACAACATTTCGCAACGAAACTTTGGAATATTACTAATTTTGTGATGCTCTTTCAAGCTGTGATGAAATTTTTGTCCAGACTTGTTTAGATCAAAATTTAGTCTATAATGCAAATGGTCCAATAAACTGTATCAAAATTTATCCCAGCATTAGATTTACATTTCTTTCTTACCAATTTTCTCAGCTTTCTCCCGGGCAAAATAAACAGAAACTATATTTTTATTGAGATAAGTTTTCGAAAATTTGTTTTAAGTGTTTCCATATGTCTCTACATTCTGCAAAAATTTTCGTAAAAAAACACAAAGTTTGTGTATTTTCATGCACAGATAGTTTTCAACTATAAGTTTAGTAGCTCCAAAAATATACATAAAAAAATTCTCAATCCTATTTGGCTAAGAGCAGTGCAGTTTTTCCGAAATACTGTACAGTGCCTCTCTCCTCCGCAGAGGTTTCTGTCGCTTCCTGCTTTCCCCGTCTCCGCCTGCGCGTCTTCCACACAGCGGTTCGATACGGTAAGCGCCATGTAAAGCTCATTGAAACCTCTGCGGAGGAGAGAGGTACAGTGCCAAAAAATGAAATACATTGCAAAAGAAAGAAATACTGTGCAAATACAGTGAAATACATTTCTTAATTTTTTGTTTTTCAAATCGAAAGTCTTTGAAAAACTCACTCGTGCATGTTTTTTCCCAAATTGCACTCGAAACCATACTATTACCTATATTCATATAAACCTACAATCTTTGGCAATATAATTTGGGACAATCTAGTTTTCACATTCATTCGGTTGTAATATAACCATTTCCTGATACATTTTTTCCACCCTCCCTCCCCCCACCCGTTTCAATGTTGGCGCCTCGCAACCAGACATCAGATTCTTGTTGGCCCAACATTGAACTAGGGGAACGGGGGCGCTATTCCTTTCAAATTATATGAAATTACAGCAGCTGTCCCATAGTTTCTGGCAAAGATTGTAGTATATACAGGTCAGTACCAGTGTAGGTAGCAGTGGCTCCCAGGAAGGAAAGGGTAGGGGTGCACTGAGTCGGTCCAAGGTCTCTATACTTACTTTTTTGTGGGGGAGCACAAAATCTGCAAGCAAGTGGACAGTGGTTGTGCATAACAAAGAAGTTGAGACTGCAATATCCATTCAGTTTCAAA